GAGATGGATTTAACCTTTGACTGTTTTGGTCATATGTATACGTCTTACGAGCCACCGTTTTTGACGTATATATACTCATGAATTCTAGTAGCTTCAAATTAAGCAGGAGAAAGCTGGTAGGCCCACATGTGAGAGAATGGGTCTGTGTGGTCAGTGTGCACCATATAATAAAAATCCTGCAGCACGCAGTGCATAATGAGAAAAAAAAATCTGACTTTTTTTAATTAAAATGCTGACTTTGTGGTCTATTTTTGTATAGTATTTATGGTTGTATTCTCATTTTCTTGGTCTCATTTGATAGAATGGAAAACATATTATAGAAATAGAGGTGATTTTGATTGGTTTACTATGAAAAGAACCTTGAAATGGAGCTCAAAGTAGGGGAAATGTTTGATTTTTTGCCGATGCTCAAAAGTAAACAAATGACGTCATTTTCCAATAAATGTCCAAGTAGCCATTCTAATATGCAGTCATGAATGGGTTGGGATTATTTATACAATTATTTCAATATTGCAGTAGTCTACATAAAAGTAAATCTTCTATTTTTTGTTTGAATAAAAATTCAAAATAGAAAGGAAGAGTAATATCAGAGGGGCATGGAGACGTGACTGATGAACAAAGAAAATGCTATTTTAGAGCCAGGAATGTCTGCATTGTTCATTCTGGACCCTATTTTGAAATCGTCATATTTTTTAATTTTCGTGAAATTGGCCAGATTGCAAATTTCTGACCACGTTATTGGGTAGCTGAAATTGGTAAATGGGCAGTTTCTTGTACTCAATTGATAGAAAAAATGGAGTTCTAAAGAAATAGCTATGCATTTGGTCGACTGGAACAATGGAATTAGCCAAAAATAGCGCTCAAAGTGGGCGAAATCGCCAATTCGTAAATATTGCCGAGGTCGCTAACTTCGCAAGAGCATAATTCCATCAGTTTTCCATCAAATTTTGTTCTTTTGGTGTCATTACGACTGGGAAAAGATTCTCTATAATTTCATGAGAATTTTTTTTTTTTTTTTAAATTTTGCGACACCAGGAGACACCTCAAGATTTTGGGTTGCAACTGTCAAAGGGTTAAAAAGGAGGGAGGGTTTTATATAGGAAAGGCCTGGAGTGGCTATAATGTCCAGTGTTTATTTTGTACTCTGTTTTTAAATTGGAATTTGTTGAAATGTTTAAAATTGGCAAAATTAACCAATTTTGTGCACTTTTTTAGGGTTGCGATAGCTGAATGGGCACTCAACTGATAGAACAAAGGCATACTAGTGAAATAGCTAGGAATTTGGTCAAATCGAGCAGGTGAATGGGCATAAAAAAATTTGAGTATTTAATACCATAAGTTTATCATCAATTTTTACATTTTTGGCGTCATTATCTTCAGAAAAAGATTCTCTATTTCAGAAGAAATCTTTTATGTATATACAGTGGAACCTCGCTACTTGAACAATTCAGTATTTAACCCTTTGACTATTTATGCCGTATAAATACGTCTTACACGCCACTGTTTCTGACGTATATATACTCAAATTCTAGCGCCTTCAAATCAAGCAGGAGAAACCTGGTAGGCCCACATGTGAGAGAATGGGTCTGTGTGGTCAGTGTGCACCACAAAAAAAATCCTGCAGCACACAGTGCGTAATGAGAAAAAAAACCCTGACCGTTTTTTTTGGATTAAAACGCAGACTTTGAGGTGTATTTTAGTATAGTATTTATCGTTGTATTCTCGTTTTCATGGTCTTAGGTGATAAAATGGAAAACATATTACAGAAATGGAGATGGTTTTCATTACTTTCATGATGAAAACGACCTTGAAACTGAGCTCAAAGTAGCGGAAATGTTCGATTTTTACCAATGTTCAGGGGTAAGCAAATCACACCACACGTCCGATACACGTCAACTGGGGAGTCTAATATTCTTTCACTAGTGCACTGTATTATTTATCCATTTTACTAAAGCAGTAGTTGCTAACAGTAAATTTGTTTTTTTGTAGAATAAAAAAAACAAAATAGAAAAAAATAGGAGATTGGGAGATTCTGAAGAGGGAAATTTCAGGATTTGGGGGATGAATTTGGTGGGGTGCAAAAAAAAATTAAAAGTGAATACAGGGAAAGAGTAAGTTTTGGGTAACAAAAAGTTAGATGATGAAAGATTGGATATCAGTTGGAGGGGGAGGTATGGGGGAGGTGAATGTATTCAGTATTTGGATGGACGTGTCAGAGTGGGTTATGAAAGATGAGGTGAATCATAGAATTGATAGGGGAAAAGGGTGAGTGGGGCATTAGAGTCTGTGGAGACAAAGAACTTTTTCCTTGGAGGGAAAGGGGGGAATGTATGAGGTATAGTTTTCCAAGTCTTTTATGGATGTGAAGCATGGGTGATGAAAGTTGCAGCGAGGAGAAAAGGTGGAGGCGTGGAGATGTATGTTGAGGGCAAAGTGTGTGTGAATATAATGCAGAGAATTGTAGTTTTGGAATTAGGAGGGGGTCGGGATTACCAAAATTTGTCCAGAGGGTCAGGGAAAGGGGTTGTTGAGGTGGTTTGGACATGTAGAGAGAATGGAGCGAAACAGAGTGATTAAAAGTTTTTAGTCTGAGGGGAAGGAGGCGGGGTGGGGTGGGCCCTAGGAATTAGGGAGGGGAAAAGGATTTTTTGGCGGGGGCTTTTTCCACACATCGTAGGTTTTTTTTTAAAAAATAACCCAAATTTTTTAAATTTATTTTTGGATTCCCCAAATCATTTAGAAGGGTTCAGGGAAAACCGGGGCCGGCTTGACCGGGAATGGGAAGTACAGGCTGCACCTGAAGGAGGGGGGTTAATGTTGCAGTTTAAAAATGTAGTGTAAAGCCCCCTTCTCCAAGAATGATGGGTGAATGATGGGAAAGTTTTTTTTTTTCGGGCCACCCTGCCTTGTTGGAATCACCCAGGTGATAATAAAAAAAAATAATAAAAATAAATAAAGGGGCCAGGTGGCTAAGAACAGGGAAGTTATTTTAGTGCCCAAAAATGTTACCTTGTTTTTTTGGACCCTTTTTTGAAAATTTAACTTTTTTTTGATTTGCATGAAATTTTCCAAATTGCCCAAATTTCTGCCCCTTTATTGGGGGAGTTCAAACGGAAAAGGGCGGTTTTTTGTACTCGCTAATAGTAAAATGGAGTTTAAAGAAATAGCTATGGTTTGGTCATGGAAAACCCGGGAATTGGCTAAAAACAGGGCTTAAATTCGGCGAAAACGCCGGAAAGCATATGTCGCCCAGACCACTAACTTCACGGTAGTGTAATTCCCTGGTTTTTGACCAAAAATTTTAAACTTTTTGGTGTCATTTTCCCTCGGGAAAAAATTCTCTATCATTTATAAGAAAAAAAATTTTTTTTTTTTTTTTTAATTTTGCGACTAGAATTAGTTTCAGAAAGGGGCTTGCGCAGTCAAAGGGTTAAAAAAACCCTTTTTCGGTAAACAATCCCTCAGTAGTCAACCCTTTGCTCAGACTTGACCAAACAAAAGTGACCTGCCGGAACAACCTTTCAGGGGCCGTCCATAATTAGGTTTACGTTGGGGTCCAAACCCTAGATTTCACAAAAAACTAGCGGCGCAAAATTTTGCGCGAGAAGGCGGTAGGCCCACAAAACTGAGAGAATGGGTCTGGGTGGTCATGTGGCATATAGAAAAAATTTGGAAGCCCACAGGCTTTTGGGAACCCGCAAAGTCTTTTTATATGCCGGCCAAGGAAGCTCTCACTCCCATTCACTCTCCGGTGAATTTACTTCCTCTTCCAAATCACGTTCTAAAACTTATGGAAGTAGAGTGAAGAGGAATTTAAAAGGGTTTTTAAACCTATGGGACAATGGGCCTGTCATACAATGGTATTGGTACAAAATTTTT